AGCACTGACTGGTGAGTGTGGTGGAAGAAACTAGATGCAGAAGGGGCTCAGAGAGCATCAGTTCCTCATTACCCAGACAAGAAGTTGGAGTATCCAGAAAGGAGGTCCCCCAAATACAAAGTTTTGGCTCAGAGGCCTATGAAATAAAAAATTAAATTAAAAATTAATTGACATAATAATTTTATATATGTTTATGGAGCACAGTGTGATAATTTGATACATGTATATAATATTTCATGATCAAATCAGGATAATTAGCATTTATATCTCCTTAAACATTTCTTATTTCTTTGTGTTGGGAACATTAAAATGCCTCTCTTCTAGTTCTTTATAAAATATATAATAAATTATTGTAAACTTTGCCTACCCTTCTGTGCTATAGAACACTAAAATTTATTCCTCCTAGCTAACTGTATTTTAGTACCTGTTATCCAGTCTCTCTCTTTACCACCTCTCCCTACCCTTCCCACCCTCTGTGACCACTATTCTAGTTTATAGTCTTGGTTCTGGTCAGGATCCAAGACTGAGAGGAGTTCTGTTCTCTTTTCATACTAGTTCTAGCTCTGGTGGGTATCTCTCTCATTATCACAAGAAATGGATCTCTCTAAACGGTCTCTTATGTGCTCTAAAATGATCATGAAGGTCAGGATGAAGATAAGAACAAAGATGACCATAATGATGATGTCATGAATCTTTATTAAACTTTCCCAAGTGCCTGACTTTATATAGTTTATTTAATTTCATCTACAATGATCACTCCCAGGTAAAAAACATTATTGTTTTACTTGAAAGGAATAGAACTTTCTATTTGAATTCTCTTGGGCTCCAGTGCCTGAGACCTGAGAGACTTGTATTCTGTACCATATAACAACAATAGGGCATGAAAACTGTGTAGGATTGTACTTTATGAATAAGCCTGGAATAAATTCCAATGATGATCCAAATTCTGTTTACAAAATAATGAACAAATATTTATTAAGTTTAGGCACTGTACATCTCTAGAGTTTAGTATTATTCTCCCCATTTCCAGATAAGGAAAGCTAGTACAGAGAAGGGAAGAGTTCTTTATGTACTACAGTGTGAGTGTTAGAAAAAGAAATTGAACTCAGACCGTGGCCTATTGACTGTATTTTCAGGACTTTGTTTCCTCATGAGAGCCAAATTAGAGTTTTTCTTGTAAAACCTCCTCGAGCACAGATGAACAAACCAAGGCAGAAGCATTGATTCTTTCTCTTGCAATTCAGTGAGTTCATCTGAGAAGTGGCAGCATGAACTGTGGTTTATAGAGGCATTTCTGACATAAGTATGTAATTTTTAAAATTAATAACAATGCACTTTTATAACCAAGTTTGGACATCTGAGACATGGAAATATTATTTCCTATATAAGATGAGAATTTTCACATGGAACTCTCAGAGAGTGATTATATTAGACAGACTTCAAGAATATTTTTTATTTGATATCTTTTTTTGTTGTTGTATTGTTTTGGTATTGGGGATTGAACCCAGGGGTGCTTTTATTTTTATTTAGAAACAGGGTCTCACTAAGTTCCTTAGGGCCTCACTTGTTGAGGCTGGCTTTGAATTTGTGGTCCTCCTACCTCAGCCTTCTGAGTTACTGGGATTACAGGTGTGTGCCACTGAGATTTGCTTCATTTTGATATCTTAATAAAAGAAAGTATTTGATAGCACCTGATTTTTTCTATTGGAAAAACAAATGTAGGCATTAAATAGTAAAATTGAATAGACATCTTTTTTTATAACTCAAAACAGCTATCCTGCAGGCACACATCATATACAAATTCTCACTAGTGTGATAAGAGAAGTGGGAGAATTTTCATAGAATTGTTGTCATGAGAAATTAAAAAATAAAATCCAATCTTCAGGCAATGTTATGCATTGAAATGTTATATCTGAATATATGTACTTCACAGAAAGACTTTAATTCGGTATTTTATTAAAATGTTAGATGTAATATAGAGTAGTATATTGGTTTCCTATATTTTCAAGAGAATTACACATAAGCAAATCAATACTAATGTTAGAAAATCATGGATAAAATATACTTATCAAATTCCTGACAGTGTTTGCATTTTGGGGACAGATGTATAGAAGAATGGGATTATGCATGGATATAGAAAAACTCAGAGTTTATTGGTAATATTTCAGATCTTTTAAAATAGAAGTTCTGAGGCAAATATTGAATTGTTTATATTTTTAATATAGGTAGTAAGTCTTAATGATGATAATAACATATATACTATTAATAGAACATTTTCTAGTGTGTGAAAGTATTCTGAGACATTGATTCTTGGTCCTGGACCACTAAGAACCCTATATACAGAGATAATTATTTAATTCATTCTAAGCTATGGCAGAGCATCAGTATATTTTAAATACCCATAGGTAAATATAATGATCAATTAGTATTGATGACCACTGGTCTAAGCACTTTGTTTCATTTCACCCAATTTCTTAAACACACCACTGTAAGGTAAGTCCAGCTATGATTTTCATTTTACAGTGTGGAAACTCTCCAGGTATTACATTCACTTGTCTGACTTTTTTTTCCTTTTGTATTTTCTCTGAAATTAAATCATACTGTGATATGCCTTTGTGGCTCATTGATTTTGTTGTCAGTTCTCATCAGCCTTTTGGTCTCCCAGCTGCATAATTCAGCGGTGTTACAACTTACTTACTTCAGAGAAATGAGGACTACAGTTGCCCTCAGGGAGCTGGTGAAAGAGAACTGAAATTTCTCTATCAGGAAAGATTGAAGCGAACAGCTGTTAGTTAGGCATAAGAAGGCTATGTGTCAGGCCTAGGTTTGGTTCACCCATGGCCCTAAATTCCTCAACCATCAGCAAGGAGGTTGGATTTCATGAGGACACAACATTTCCAAATGCTTAAGATTAGAAATTCATTTAAACTTGATCCAATTACTTTGTACCCATATCTTAATATTCCTCTATACCCTCCAAACACATGATTATATTTTGTCAATGAAATAAAAGAAATCCCTTTAAGTATTTTAACCAAGCCATCACAAACTTAAAAGAGAGGGAGTGAGAGAACACAAAGAAGTATGAAATACCAGATGTTTCCTTGAGATTGCATAGGATTGATAAATTAATACTGAATAAAATGAGAATTATTATAAAATATTTCTTAAATGCTAATTATTATGTATTTAATGATTTGGGTATTATTATACACTGATGACATCTATGAGATTGGTGATGCTGTATGATTTGGTATATTTAACCAAAACATGTTTGTCAAAATTTGAAGTGTATCAGGCCAAGGTTAGATGTTATATTAGAGAAGAATTAAAAACATACATCCTACAGTTTTGAGTGAACACTTAATTCCATAAAGGAGCAAAGTCAGAAGGCCAAAAATGGATGAAAATCCATGACGATAACTGGCGCATAAAAATGCTTTATGATTATGAATATTTGGTTTTTAATTAGAATCCAGATACTTTGGTTTTAGCACTTATATATCTTATAAATATTATATAATGAGAGAATTTTTTGCATTATATTTGAATAAAATAGTTTTTACTTTCTTTTAATTAGAATGGTCTTTTTCTCAAAGGTGAAAGGATATTTATCTTTGTTTTTTTCTTAAAAGAATATTTTATCATAATTACATATTTATCTCTAATGATTTTGCTTTTAAAATATACTTCAGTTGAGTGTCTCTAAGATTGATGTGTATAGAAAAAGATGAATACCACAAAAATAAGTGATGACAGAGTTCTAAGATGTTTGGGAGTGTCATAACTAAGAAATATTGCTGAGGGTATATGGTCCTCAAACAAAAGAACTTTACTAGTGAATTGCTTTAATCCAAAATAATAGATAGTGCTGTGTACTGGTTTGCTTATTTACTTTTTTCAACCTATTTTTCCTTCTCAAAAGTTTTCTCTCCAATATAGAATCACAAAATGTAACACGTGTTTCAGAATTCCATCTCATGGGCCTCTCAGAGGATCCAGAACTGCAGCCCCTCCTCTTTGGACTGTTCCTGTCCATGTACCTGGTCACAGTGCTTGGGAACCTGCTCATCATCCTGGCTGTCAGCTCTGACCCCCACCTCCACACCCCCATGTACTTCTTCCTCGCCAACCTGTCCTTGGCTGATATCAGTTTCACCTCTACGACGGTCCCAAAAATGATTGTGGACATCCAAACACATAACAGAGTCATCTCCTATGCAGGCTGCCTGACTCAGATGTCTTTTTTTATGCTTTTTGGATGTTTGGATAGTCTGCTTCTAACTGTAATGGCCTATGACAGGTTTGTAGCCATTTGCCATCCACTACACTACCAGGTCATTATGCACCCTCGCCTTTGTGGCTCATTGGTTTTGTTGTCAGTTCTCATCAGCCTTTTGGTCTCCCAGCTGCATAATTCAACGGTGTTACAACTTACCTACTTCAAGAATGTGGAGATTTCTCATTTCTTCTGTGACCCTTCTCAGCTCCTCAACCTTGCCTGTTCTGATACATTTACCAATAACATAGTCATGTATTTTGTTGGTGCCATCTCTGGTTTTCTTCCTATCGCAGGGATCTTCTTCTCTTATTATAAAATAGTTTCCTCTATTCTGAGAGTTCCATCATTAGGTGGGAAATATAAAGCCTTCTCTACCTGTGGGTCTCACCTGTCAGTTGTTTGCTTATTTTATGGGACAGGCCTTGGGGTATATCTCAGTTCAGCTGTCTCACTTTCTCCTAGGATGGGTGCAGTGGCCTCAGTAGCATACACTGTAGTCACCCCTATGCTTAACCCTTTCATATACAGCCTTAGAAACAAGGACATCAAGAGGGCTATGTGGAGGCTTTTCAGAAAAATAGTCTAGTCTCAGGATTTGTGTTATCTATTTGCAGTGCTGGTCTGCAAAAGCAACAAAACTAAACATCTAGGCCTGCAAAACTCATCTCCTTCATCACGTCATTTTTAAGCTCTTGTGGTTTTCATTTCTCCTCCTATTTGATATCTAAATATTGCTTTTTTAAAAAAAACTGTCTTTAGTGAAACTGTGGGAGTTTCTGTATTCTTTGTACAGCTTACTCATGAATTTCTGAATTTTTTTATACTTATGCAACCTCTGTACTTTATTATTAATTATCCAAGAATCTCAGAAAGATGAGAAACTCTCTTTTTATATACTTAAAATTTCTTATAATAAATATATTTTCAGTAGCTTCTGTGTCTTTACCATATAAATTTTGCATTTATAAAAAATTTATTTGTGCAGGTTATCTATTAGGATGTGTATCGCTGGTCCTCCAGATTGCCTTTATGGGAAGCACTAAGGGATCTTTAAAAACATTGATGCCTGAGTCTCACCACTAGAGATTCTGATTTATTGAACTGGCATGTGGCTTGAGCTTGAGACTTTTTAAGATGTCCAAGGATTTTACTAAGAAATCTGCTGATAATCCTTTAGGATCTTCCTTGTACATGTTGAATTGCTTTTCCTTGATGCTGCCATGGTTTGAACTTTGTGACTTTTGATGATTTGAGTGTAATATATCATATTATGGGTGTCTTTGGATTTATCAGAGTTTATTTAGTGTTTGGATATGTATGTCTATTCTTCAAATTTGAGAAATTTAAAATTTCAATCATTATTTTAAAAAGTTGAATCTCTATCTCTTCCACCCTATTCCCTTTCTGAAATTCCCCTAATGCAAAAAATTCAGCTTAATAGTTTCCCATAAAATCCTTAGGATCTATTCACTTTTATTTGTTCCTTTTTATTTTGCTTCACTGATTCAATAATTTCAAATAATGAGTTCCTAAGTTTATTGATTATGTCCCTCTGGTTGATTGAGTCTATTATGACACTATCAAATATTTCAATTTACTTATTGAATCTCCAACTCCAAAATTTTTGTTGCTTTTTAATAATTTATAGGTATTTGCGAATATTCTCATTTTGTTCATGTATTGCTTCCCCAATTTTGTTGTCTGTGTTCTTTTTTAGCTTACTGACTATCCTTCAGGTGGATGTTTTCTATTTTTTTGTCAGATAAATCATAGATCTAATTTCTTTAAAGAATATTTCACAGTAAGTTTATGAATATTTAATTTATTTCTCTGGTTGGGCCATGTTTCCATATTTTTTTTGCATGCCTTGTTCTCCTTGTTGAGTTTTTTGCTTTTGAGAAAATAGCTTCTTCTCACAGTTTTTATGGATTGATTTCATGTAGTGGAAGACTTTCACCACAGACTGATAGAAATTTTAGGACTGGGGATGTAGCTCAGTAATAGAGCATTTGCCCAGCATATGGGAGGACCTGGATTTAATCCCCAGAGGCTCTCCCCGTACCATTGCCCTGCCAATAAAAATGCCTAGAAATTCTCAAACGTTTTCAGAAAATGAATTTTCTCTGAGCTTGTTTGTGTAATTTTCACCATTAAAGAGGTTTGCCTTTGTTCTCAGAGCCCATGGTCTCTTGTCCCACCTGTCATCTGTTTGTGGTACTACAGTCTCTCTGGTAATGTATGAGCCTTAACATTTTTCTGTGTATCTTTCTCTATAGTGCTCTAAGTCAGGCAAGGCATAAGCCTACTAGAAAGATACATCTTTACATGAATATTCCACCTTCTTATTCTTGTTTCAATTCAGAACTTGGGAATTTTCTCCTGATTGTGCCATGCTGCTTTTGGGAGGGTGTAGGTCCTTGATGGCAAATACAGCAACATTTCTTGTCCATTTTTATTCACCTCTTCCTGACTTTGTGTTTGCATGATGTGCTAATATCTCTTAATTAGTTCTTGGAGTTCTCACAAAGGCAACTTGGTCCATATGTATTGTTAATTTAGTGTCTCTGTGGAGGAATTAAGGTTTGGCACTTACTAATTCATTGATGTTTCTATGGCTAAAAGTTTATTTCATTAAATGGCACCTGAAAATGAGCACTTTGTGATGTAGTGGGGCTTTTATTCTGGTGGTGGCCTTCTTCCTAGGATGGGAGAAAGTGCAGGTGATTAACAGGTGAGCGGCCTTTAATGCTTGTTTTCTGCTTTTCTAATCAGGAGAAAATAATTATTTAAGACAGTCCATATCTGCTAAACAGGCCCTGTCTGCTGATGTTTTTGCTAATCAGTGCTTCTTGAAATGTACTGCTTCTGGGTTCATTTAATTTCTTTCCCAGTGTGTCGTGTGTGTGTGTGTGTGTGTGTGTTTAATTCTGAAAGGTGTAAGACCCTACAAAAATTATAGTATAAAATATTTTCACAGCTCAGATTTATGGACATCCTTTTAAAATAAACTCTGACTCAAAAAATGTCAGGGTTGTGAAATATAAAGGCTGAAGAACTGTCCCAGACTGAAGTTCAACGAGTCATGATAAATAAATGCAACATGTGCAGTTCAACTGGATCCTAGAGTAGAAGAAATAAATAAATTATTTAAAATAAAAAGAAAGACTTCGTTTTCTGAGAACACCCATAAAAAGGCAGAAGAAAAAAATTCTGGAGTGAAATGAGCAATTACTTCATAAGCAAAAATAAGAATCTATGAGAAATTTTGTTGAATTTGAACACAGAATGATTGCAGTGTATTGAGACATCATTGGAGGAATCCTGCTAGTAGGAGAGAAACTAGGGTCATTTTTCCCATACTACATGGAAAGGTGCTACATGGTGGTATCTGCTGAGATATAAAATACAGAGCTACTTCTTCCCATGTGACAGGAAAGTTTGCATGAGAACATAGTGATTTGATGGGTTGTGTAACTTGCTGGAAAGAAGAAGGATAGATCCATAATCTTGTGGTGCCTACAGAACAACATCAAGAGCACTCTTGATCACACAGCATGCTTAAGACAATACAACAGTAAATATCAACCTGTTCTTTCAGCTTTTCAGAATGCTGGTTCCGGTTCAGTGGAAATCACACCTCTGTCTCTTTCCAGAGTCATCTGTATCAGGAGGCCCCTTCCTGACTCTGGGGAATGACTCCTGTCATTCATGAGAAAAGATCCTCAGTTCTCACTGCTCTTCAGATGTAAAGAGGGAATGAATTTCAGTAGCCCTATTAGCAAGTCCACCCCATTAAGAAGGAAGTGAGTGAGTGTTGGGAGGCACACAGAGATGCTGGAGATACTATTGGGAACATTGCTTTCTCAAATTGAGGATCAGCAAGGTCATTGGAATGGCTATACTGAAGGGGTCTAAAATGCAAAGTTTTTGCTCAGAGACCTATGAAATTTATTCTGTGTTCATAGAGAGAATTTAAGAAATGTCTCTGAGAATTCTTCTTTAACCTAAGCAGTTTAAAGCATAAACTGAATGTCATTTATCTAGATATCCAAAGTCTTGTACAGTAGGGCAGAGATAGGCACACTTTTACCTTATATAACATCAAGCAAATTATCCACTGTTTCAGAGGAGAAACTTAAGATATTTTTACATTCATATTCAATGTGGTACTTCTTCCCAGGACCACTAGACCTTCCATAGATTAATTTCTCAACTCTTTTTTTTCTGGTACCAGGGATTGAACCCAGAGATGCTTAATCACTGAGCTACATCCCCAGCCCTTTTTATTTGGAGATAGGTTCTGGCTACATTGCTAGGGCCTCACTAAATTGCTGGGATATCCTTAAACTTGTGATTTTGCCTTAGCCTCCATTTTTGCTGGGATTATAGGTGTGTGCCCTGTTCTCTAATTTCTCAACTTTTGAGAGAAATGTATGGTTTAAAATTATGAATAGTGGATGTCTCCGGAAGATGTGACAGCTTCTGGGCTGCTTCCTGCCTTCTTTTCTCCCTACTCAGCTTTCCACACTGGGCATTTGAGGTGCTGCCTCCACTGCCCTCACCACTACAACCATGATCTCCTTAACAGACACCCAGAAAATTGAAATGGGATTAACAGTTTCTCCTGTTGTTTGGAATGATTATCTTTTTTTTGACAAAGTACTACTGGCCTTTGGAAATGTTTTGTTTGTGACTGGCTAGGCTTTTATAATCAGTTTAGAAAGCACATTCAGATTCTTTTCCCAAAAACATAAAATGAAAGCTACAGGATTTTTCCTAGGTGGTATATTTGTAGTTCTTATTGGTTGGCCTTTGAGAGGCAGGATATTTGAAAATTACGGATTTTTTAACTTGTTCAGGGGCTTCTTTTCTGTGTGGTTGGCTTTATTAGAAGAATGCCTATTCTTGGATTCCTCTTAAATTTACCTGGAATTAGATCATGTATAGATAAAGTTGGAAAAAGCAACAATATTGTTTAACAACAAGAGAATTTGAAGACTCATTTAAAATGTTGTATTGTTTATAAAATTCTTTGAAGAACATTCAGTACAAAATTAAATTACATCAAATAACTTGTAATGTTCTTTACAGAAGCTTAAAACATGTAGCCTACAAAGACCAACAGCAATTAGTAAAGAAGCAATGAAAACAGGCTTCTAATCAAGTGATCTCAGAAGGCAGCAAGCAAACTAAGGGAGACAAAATCCATGTTATGAAGCATATTGAAACTCTAGAAGGCTATTTTTATTATCTTTCCACAATGTGCAGAACACAGCCATTCTTAGAGAACTGTGGTGTCGGTTACTTTTGTTTTTACTACTATTATTATTGTTTTGAGGGCTCAGGAGCACCCACAGGCATTTGCTTTTTAGAAATGTCCACCGTGATGGCAACTCTATTTCCAGTTGTGCTGTATCTCTGAAAGTAATGCATGAGTAGGGTTGGATTATGTCATTTTAATGTATTAAACCCAGTGAAAACCCAGTTCATGTATGAATCACTATGTTTTGTAAACATGGAGTTAAAATAAAACTTTTGTTGTTCTTCTGAAAAAAATATGAATAATGGGATCTATTCTCCTCTACCGATAGTATGTCCAATATTAACTCATAGAATAAAAGGTTGATTTATCAATTCTTTCCTTTCTAGAAAAAAAGTCTCCAAGTGTATGAAAGTATATGGTCAGAGAACTCTCAAGTGAATATCCAATATAGAATGAAAAAAGTTTTAGTGTTTCTTTTTTGTTCAAGGATATTGATTATGGGAGGGGGAAGTGAAAATAAGCATTTTGGTATGCAAATATAACTATCTTTGGTGTTCATTTGTCATGTGTTGTAAATTCATCCTTGTCTATAACCCTAGTATTTCATCCCTCCATCTAATATGAAATGACTTTGGTTTAGTAATACATTGTGTACAGACCAGGTATTCTAAATGTCTGAATATACTCAGCTTCTTCCTCTCATATCTATCTCTATATATCTGCCATTTGGGATCCCCTCAAAATAATTTATTTATTTCTTCTATATTTTATCAATGTACAGCTAAACAGCATACTTTGTCCTATATCCATTATGTATGCATTAAACTTTTCTTTGTATCAAACCCAATGTTCTGATAGAAGATGAGGTGGGGAGGGGCTAAGATACTCCCAATGACCTTACCTCCTTGTTCTTATGCCCTTGTGTGACTTCCATGATGTATGGCATGAACCTAGTGACTCCCTTTCAGCAATGAGAACATGGAAGAAGTGATGGGATGTCACTTCTGGGAATAGAAAGTAAAGCATCAGGCTTTCTACTGTGGAAAACACAAGGAGTTTTCCTAAAAAAATTAAAAATAGAACCACCATATTATTTTGCAATACATTTGCTGTGTATGTACCCAAAGGAAATGAAATACATCTGTTGAAGAGACATCTGAACTCCCATTGTTACTGAAGCACAATTCATACTAGCCAAGGAATGGAAATAACCTAACTGTCCATCAATGGATGAATGGATGGATACAAAAAATGTTGGACATACACCAATGAATGTTATTCAGCCATAAAAGGATGCCATTCTACCATTTGAGACAAAATGGATTGAAGGGGAAGACATTAAATAAGCCAGACTCTGAAGACAAGCACCACCTGATATCATTTAGAAAGGTGGTCTCAGAAGTTGATAGTTAGCATGATACTTATCAGAGGCCATGAAGATTAGGAGGGAGTGATGGGGAAGGATTAATTTTAGTTTTCTAGTTTGAGAGTAGCAAATAAAATATATACTGTAATTTTTTAAAGTTATAGGAAAGAATTTTAAATGTTTTCACCATAAAGAAATGACAGATGATTGAAGAAATATAATCATTATGATTTGACATTACATAATGTATACCTGATTCCAAATATTACATGTCATGTTAAATATGTACAATTATTATGTATTGGTTAAAAAGAGAAATCAATATTAAAATATAGTTTCCTCCTGCTGCTCCTATAGTATTTGTTTATTTATTTAATTTTATTAATTTTTTTTTGGTATATCTAGATCAACAGGTATCTTTATTTGTTTTATGTGGTGCTAAGGATCAAATACATGCTAGGCAAGCACTCTGCCACTGAACTACAGCCCAAGCCCTGCTCCTGGAGTATTTAAATATAGTATATTATCAAAAACCTATGTAACCATCAGTGGTTTTATAATGTATCAATATATTTTCACTAGAGAAAAAAGAACCAAGATTCAGGAGGACTAGTAAATAACCCATATATCTTCAGTACATAAAGTACCAAACCAAGCAAAGGGAAAAATAAATTGAAATATGAATTTCTCCTTAGAGACATATAGGAATGGAAATAGTGTGAGATTCTTGAAACAAGAAATCTAATTCTCCACATATTTTCAGATTAATACAATGAGTTGACAGATACCAAATCCCATATTTGATTGTTATAGTGAAGAAAAAGTAGCCTTAGTTTTACATAAAGATCCAACACCTTGGAAGTCAGACCAAGTACTTTTACTTTTCTATTTTTCTGTTTCCTTTAATATTAAAAAGTCCTCAGAGATTGAATTATTGTGCACCTATTGGCTAATTAGGCACTTTGTGCATTGAGCCTCCAAGGTTGCACAGCTGAACTAATTAGCCTATGCTTCTAGCCCTTTACTTTGCCAGTGTAGTGGCTCCACAGCATTGTCTACTGTCTCCATTGGCATCTTCATAAATTTGAGCCATTTTTCAAGTCCTGAGGACAGAGCCTGAGGTTTCATCCCACACTAAGCAGGAGAGGAGCACTGAATCCATACTCCTTGGTAATGCCCGAGCAGAAATGCAGTACTGCCCAGTAAGTTCTGTGGGAGATGGTAAAAAGAGGAGGAACTGTCAGCATCATTGTTTCCTCAACACTGGGGCAACCATGTCAGTTGGGATGATATCAATATGCAAAGTTTCAGCTTAGAGGACTAAGTTTATATTTTGGTTCTGGGATGGGGTCCAGGAATTCTCAAAGTTCTGTTTTTCTCCTACACTAATTCTAGCTCCTGTAGGCCTCTCCCTCATGGTACTAGTCAATGAATCTTGCCTTCATGGGAAGGCTTAACATGAAATTCTTTTAACTAGGTGAAGAAGGCTGAGTTTCAAACCTGATGGAGACGTATCTTGAGATGATAAATTCTTTATTTGTAAATAATAGGATTTATGATAAAAAGAACTGATATTACCAGGACACTATGGAATACAAATAAACAAAGCAAAACCAAATAACAACAACAACATAAAAATAAAGAGCAAAACCTACAAACAAAAAACCCTGCCAAAATAGAAAATAGGAAAAGTGTTCTTATGTATAAGATGTTTCCTTATATTTGTATGGGGTTGATACAGATAACACTTTATAAAACAAAACATTTCAGAAGTGTTTTTTAAAGTCATTATTGTTGAATTATTGACAGATGCACTGTACGCTAGTGTGTGATCAGTGATGCTTCATGATTATGTGCATATTCATCAAAATTTGAAGTCCACTGAAGCCAAGGTTAGGGTTATAAAATGATTTAAAAAAGATAATCTACATATTTGAATGAAACCCTCTTTCTGTGAAAGAATGAAATGTTAACATGAAAGAATTATGGAAATCCATGAATTTAACTGGCAAATAAAAGTGTGATTATGAACTTTGAACTTTATTTGAATTCCAATAACATGGTCTTAGCTCTCACAGAGTTTTTATAAATATTCTGCATCCAGGAAATTCATATCATTATCTTAGAATAAAATAATCTGTTTGTTTTTCAATTACCTTTAATTAGAATGATTTTTTTTTTCTCAATGAAGGAAGGGTATTTTTGTTTCCCATTTTTATTTATTTATTTATTTATTTATTTATGTATTTATTTTTATTGGTTCTTTTTAGTTATAACAGTAGAATCCATTATGATATAATTATTTAAAGATGGATGGAATATAGCTTATTCTAATTAGGACCCCCTTCTTGTGGGTATACGTGATGGTGGATTCACTTAGGTATTTTCATATGTATACTATAGGAAAATTATGTTAGATTGATTGCACTGTCTTTCCTATTCCTGTCCCTCCTCCTTTCCCTTCATTCCTATTTGTCTAATCTATTAAACTTCTCTTCTTCTCCCCGACTTTATTGTGGTTTAGCTTCCACATATCAGCAAAAACATTCGACCTTTGGTTTTTGGGATTGGCTTATTTCACTTACATGATAGTTCCCAGATCTACCCATTTACTGGCAAATGTCATAAAGTCCTTCTCCTTATGGCTGAGTAATTTCTTTATCCATTCATCTGTTGAAGGGTACCTAGATTGGCTCCATATCTTAGCTATTGTGAACTGTGCTGCTGTAAACATCTTTTTTTTTTTTAATCTGAAAAGAGTTGGTTGTATTTTATGTAAAAATGAAGTGTTTGTGGAGTGGTGTACTCCTGTAATCCCAGTGACTTGGAGTCTGAAGCAGGAGAATTGTGAGTTCAAACCCAGCCTCAGCAACTTAGTGAGGCCCTACGCAACTCAGAGAGACCCTCTCTGTAATAAAAATAAAAATAAAAACCCCCAAAACAGCTGGGGATGTGACTCAGCGGTTAAACTTCTCTGGGTTCAATCCCTGGTATCACACACACACACACACACACACACACACACACACACACCAAAAAACCCCCAGGATATGGGATTTATGGTCAAATGTGTATGGTCAAATGTGAGGTCTGTATAAGAGGTATAAGGTCTGTATATTGTATATTGCTTTGTCCAAAATATAGACACAATACTAGATGACATATTTGTTTAATTTTCTCTAACTTTTCATTTTCAAAAGCTGTCCAAACAACATAGAACTACAAAATCTAACACATGTCTCAGAATTTCATCTCATGGGCCTCTCAGATTATCTTGGACTGCAGCCCATTCTCCTTGGACTGTTCCTATCCATGTACTTAGTCACAGTACTTGGGAACCTGCTCATCATCCTGGCCATCAGCTCTGACTCCCACCTCCACACCCCCATGTACTTCTTCCTCTCCAACCTGTCCTTGGCTGACATCAGTTTCGTCTCCACCAGGGTCCCAAAGATGACTGTGAACATCCTAACTCACAGCAGAGCCATCTCTTATGTGGGCTGCCTGACTCTCAGATGTCTTTTGTGAACCTTTTTCGATGTATGGATGTTATGCTGCTGACTGTGATGGCCTATGATAGGTTTGTGGCCATCTGTCACCCCCTGCGCTATTCAGTCATTATGAACCCTCGCCTCTGTGCCCTCTTAGTTTTGGTGTCTTTTTTATTTAGCCTTTTAGTCTCCCAACTGCATAATTGATTGCCTTGTGATCTACCCACTTCAAAGATGTAGAAATTTCCAATTTCTTCTGTGATCCTTCTCAAGTTCTTAATCTGGCCTGTTCTGACACTTTCACATAGTCATGTATTTTGTTGGTGCCATGTCTGTTTTTTCCTATCTCTGGAATTTTCTTCTCTTACTGTAAAATTATTTCTTCTATTATGAGAATCCCATCAACAGGTGGGAAGTACAGAGCCTTCTCCACCTGTGCATCTCACCTGTCAGTTGTTTGCTTATTTTATGGGACAGGCATTGGAGTGACCTTGGATCAGCTGTGTCACAGTCACCCAAAACAATACAATGGCCTCAATGATGTACACTCTTGTCAGCCCTATGCCGAACCCCTTCATCTGTAGCCTGAGGAACAAGGACATCAAAAGCTCACTGAGGAGGATCTGCAGCAGATCAGTCTAATCTCAGGACCTCTGACATCCATTTGGAATCTTATTTGGAAAATGCAACAAAGCCAAATATCTAGATCTGTAGATTCTACCTCCTTGGATATATAAATTTTTATAGTTTAATCACTAATTATCAAGTAGTTGCTACAATTGGTGGGAAACAGGAAGGGGAGATTTTAAAATGGGTACATTTTCAATTTGTGAAGATGAAAAATTTCTGGAGATGGATGGTAGTGATGGTTGCATAACCATATGAGTGTAATTCATGCCACTGAACTGGATAGTTAACAGTGACTTAAATGATCATTTTTTTGTTCTGTATATTTGACAGTTTCAAACAATGACAATAAAAGGCATACTGGTATTTGAAAAAAAGAAATGAAAGAAATGAATAAATATTATGCATGAGCTTACTCATTAGTAGAGGAGTCCAAATTCTTTCATGGTCATTGATTCTCCTCCTCCTCCTCCTCCTCCTCCTCTTCTTCTTCTTCTTCTTCTTCTTTTTCCTTCACTAATATTAGCAAGTGCTTAGTTATTAGGATAAATTAGTCCAAACTGGGTAAAGATGAACTCTGTGCATTGAGCCTCTAGGGGTATATAATATTCAATAATGAGTCTATGCTTTGGACTTTTGGTCTGATGGCTCCATTCCCATGAATTCCATGCCTGTGTCTTCTCCTCTCTTAGTTGTCTGCATTATGAAAGTCTTTTGTGACATTGATAATATCAATCCTGAGGATGGAGCCTGAACCTTCATTGGGCATCATACAGCCAAGGGACATGGTACCTGCAGTCCTTGAAACACAGAGTCACTGCTTAACCCAGTAAGTGCTGAGAGAGAGATTGAATAGAGGAGACAGCCAGGGGCAGATTGTTTATTAATCATCATCAGGACAAAAATGGCAGTTTGTGTGGTCAGGTGGCAGGATACAAATACATAAAATTTCAACTGTGAGGACTGCAACATTTATGTTGTGGTTGTCATGGAGTCCCAGAAATCTCATTCAAACTGTTTCTTTCCTTCCATACTGGTTCTTTCATTTCTGATTTTCAAGAACTGACACTTCACTTGCCACAGAGAAGGCATCAAACATAAAAATCTCTGTTAAACATTGAATATACCCTTCCTTGGTTCAAACAGTAGCCATAATCACTGTGGCTTCTGTGCACTGAGCACTTTCCTGACGGTCTATACTTTCCTCCCTTTCAGGAATATC